CACGCCAGCTTGGTACCTCTCATCAGGGGCACTTCCAGAGTGGAATAAAGTCCAGCACCTCTCAAGGAGGTTGGTTCCAGAGTAAAGTCAAAGTGAACCCAACTTTATTCTTCTCAACCTCATGCACAAGCTCAGGCTCCTTCCCCACCAGAGGCATTATGTTCCATGCCCAAAGAGCCAGCTTTGGTCAGGGAGGGTTGGAGTACCAAGGCCCCCGCCTTTGGCCACAGCCCATGGCTTCATGCACCTGACATGTATGACCCCTGCTGCAGGTGGTGGGTCCACAGGAAGGCAAACCCATGCAACTTATTCAGACTGAGCCCAACAGGGTCTCTTGTGTAGAGTTCTAGTCACCAGGCGCTCAACAACAAGCCCCTCCCCAAGGCCTGGCTCCAGGGTGGGGCCCCAGGAACAAATTTTTGGATGAGGGATATTGCACTGTTTGTTGCTGTACGAGTGTTCTGAATTGTTCTTGGTCTGGCCTGTCAACTAGGACCAGTCTGTTTAGAGACCCTACTGGGGTCACCACCCCTGACATCATAGCAGTGCGAGTGGGAGCATGAAGCACCTTGCACGTCTGTCTTTCTGTAGTCCTGTGATGGACTGATGACCCGTCTAGATGTGTCCACATCTCTCCGCCAGTGATTCCTGGGGATAAGCACCAACTCCCCACCAGCCTGAACAGAAACTAGCAGGTGTAGAAAACAAATGGATTAATACAATTTATTTTTTATGTTTTCCAGAGGAGAAAGGGGACCAGACAATTTATTCTGAAGTGAAATCCAATAAACCAGCAACTGCTGAACAAAGTAAGTTTTGTAGTTTATTTTTACATGAAACATAATTTATTAAAACATAGAAACACTCTGGTTCCATCATTTTTTCTTTGTTTGGAGCTGTTTTTTACTTAAATAGTAAGCTAGTTAAAGTAACTTGTCGGCAATAAACTAAAAGGCAATATTTACATCATTTATTATAACTACTGAAGCAAAGTAGATTTGTTCAATTAGCATCTTTTTTTAATTTCTTTGCAATAAAACTTACAAGTTAAACACCAAGAAATGTCTGACGCAGGTTAACAAAGCTACCTTTGTGCTCACGGACCGTAAACTGAAAAATAATCAGTTTTTTGTTTTGATGCATGTTCAATATTCCAGGTAGAAAAATCTAACAAGGTTAAGTCAAGTTAAAATCTGCTTTTTGTTTCTTTTCTGTTGTATAGAAGCAAATGAGGACCTGGTGATTGATTCTCCAGTAAAACCCGAAGCAGCTGAAGTAGTTGTTCTGAGTAAGTAAATATGAATCAACAAAAATGTGTTTGAGCTGAATGCAGACCTGGGTGACCCTTACAGACTGATGCAGATGATTAAAATATTTGCCCAGGTCTGTATTTTTCATTCCTAATCCTTTTACATGTTCTTTTTTCCAAGAAGAGGAACTAACGGTTCATTCTGTAGAAAACCCTGACGAGTCGGCAGATTCTGATCAAAGTAAGTTTGTCATTAATGAAAACATGTAGCAAATTTAACCTGAGTGAAGCTTTGAAATGGTCATTTTCTTATCTTCAGTTTTTAAAATACTGGAGGTATTATCGTTGTAGTAATCAGATGTGATCAGTATCTTTGTGAAGGATCAGAGTTGGTTGTTTCAGCTGCTGCTCTTCAGTTTCTCAGACTGTGTTTTTTATTTTCACACAGAGGGAGAAGAGCTGATAAGTTCCTCTGACGTCAAACTGGAAGTGTCAGGGAACTCTGCACCAAGTGAGTTATAACATTTTACTGAACATTAGAAAGAGGTTATTTAATAAAACCAACCAAACAAACAACAAGACATGAAACCACTTTGGTTTGAAACAAACCCAATAACTAACCTGTTCACAGTCAGCACTCATCTCAGGTGTCTCCACTTCCTCATCAGCTCATTGTCCCCTGTCCCAAAGCTAAAAATATCCATCCGTCTATCTTGTGAGCATGATAACTTGAAAAACAAGTCGGGTACTGACTTCCATTTTGGTGTGTGGCTGCATCTAGTCAAGTCAAGTCACATTTATTTATATAGCACATTTAAAACAGTAACTGTTATTAAAGTGCTTACCAAAAAAGATCACAGCATCAAATACTATTAACAACATATTACAGCAACATGAATAAAAGCATAAAAACATTTAATATAATGAGAAACAATGAAATACTAAATCAAATCACCCTGCATTAAATGTCAGGGAGTAAAAGCAAAATGGATGAACACAATCATCAACAACGAAATACCAAATGAGATCACACTGTGTTCAATGCCAATGAGTATAGGTGTGTTTTGAGGAGAGATTTAAAAATAGAGACTGAGGTGGCCTGTCGAATGTTGATGGGCAGATTATTCCAGAGTTTAGGGCCCATGACTGAAAACGCCCGATCTCCTCTGAGCTTCAGCCTGGTTTTTGGTACGGTCAAAAGCAGCTGGTCTGATGATCTCAAGGCCTGAGAAGGAGTATAAGGATGAAGGAGGTCGGAGAGGTATGAGGGTGCAAGGCCATTAACACACTTAAATGTCAGCAGAAGAATCTTAAAATCAACTGTGACATGCACAGGAAGCCAGTGAAGGGAGGACAGAACTGGAGTAATGTGCTCAAACCTGTGAGTTTTTGTTAGTAGCCGAGCTGCAGCATTTTGGACCAGATGGAGACGTGAGAGAGAGACCATGAGTGACCCCAGCATAAAGCAAGTTACAGTAGTCCAGCCGGGTTGTAATAAATGCATGGACTAATTTTTCAAGGTCGGATCTGGACAGCACGGACTTGAGCTTAGCTATCTGCCTTAGCTGAAAGAAGCTTTTTTGAAGAACAGAATTTATCTGCTTATTAAACTTAAAGTCAGAGTCTAAAACTATCCGTAGATTGGTAACAGACTGTTTTAGATATGGCTGAAGGGAGTCCAGGTTTGCAGGATCAGTGACAGTGGCAGAGCTAGGGTTAAACACAATGACCTCAGTCTTCTGATCATTAAAACTCAAAAAGTTTGCAGCCATCCAAGTCTTGATGTCATCAAGACATTTTAACAAAGGGCGAATGGAAGAGGAATTGTTAGATGTTAACGTCAGATAAATCTGAGAGTCATCAGCATAACAATGAAAGGAAAGACCATGTTTCCTCAGGATAGACCCTAAGAGGAGGCGATACAAAGAAAACAGAAGGGGTCCAAGAATGGAGCCTTGCGGGACCCCGCAGGAAAGAGGCACTGAAGTACAAACCAGATTCCAAAAAAGTTGGGACACTAAACAAATTGTGAATAAAAACTGAATGCAATGATGTGGAGGTGCCAACATCTAATATTTTATTCAAAATAGAACACAAATCACAGATCAAAAGTTTAACCTGAGAGAATGTATCATTTTAAGGGAAAAATCTGTTGTTTCCAAATTTCATGGCGTCAACAAATCCCAAAAAAGTTGGGACAAGTAGCGATAAGTGGCTGGCAAAAGGAAATTGAGCATATAACGAACAGCTGGATGACCAATTAACACTAATTAGGTCAATTGACAACATGATTGGGTATAAAAAGAGCTTCTCAGAGTGTCAGTGTCTCTCAGAAGCCAAGATGGTAAGAGGATCACCAATTCCACCATTGTTGCGCAGAAAGATAGTGCAACAATACCAGAATGGTGTTACCCAGCGTAAAATAGCAAAGACTTTTAAGTTATGATCATCAACCGTGCATAACATCATCAAACGATTCAGAGAACCTGGAACAAACGCTGTGCGTAAGGGTAGAGGCCACAAAACTCTACTGGATGCTCGTGATCTCCAGGCCCTTAAACGTCACTGCACCTCAAACAGGAATGCCACTGTCAAGGAAATAATAGAATGGGCTCAGGAATACTTCCAGAAAGCATTGTCAGTGAACACAATCCACCGTGCCATCCGCCGTTGCCAGCTGAAACTCTACAGTGCAAAGAGGAAGCCATTTCTAAGCAAGCTCCACAAGCTCAGACGTTTGCACTGGGCCAGGGGTCATTTAAAATGGAGTGTGGCAAAATAGAAGACTGTTCTGTGGTCAGATGAGTCATGATTTGAAGTTCTTTATGGAACACTGGGACGCCATGTCATCCGGCCCAGAGAGGACAAGGATAGCCCAAGTTGTTATCAACGCTCCGTTCAGAAGCCTGCATCACTGATGGTATGGAGTTGCATGAGCGCTTGTGGCATGGGCAGCTTGCATGTCTGGAAAGGCACCATTAATGCAGAGAACTATGTTCAGGTTCTAGAACAACATATGCTCCCATCTAGACGTCATCTCTTTCAGGGAAGACCCTTCATTTTTCAACACAATAATGCCAGACCACATTCTGCAGCAATCACAACATCATGGCTACGTAGGAGATGGATCCAGGTACTGAAATGGCCAGCATGCAGTGCAGATCTTTCACCTATATAGAACATTTGGCGCATCATAAAGAGGAAGGTGCAACAAAGAAGGTCCAAGACGATTGAACAGTTAGAGGCCTGTATTAGACATGAATGGGAGAGCATTCCTATTTCTAAACTTGAGAAACTGGTCTCTTCTGTCCCCAGACGTCTGTTGAGTGTTGTAAGAAGAAGGGGGGATGCCACACAGTGGTAAAAATGGACTTGTCCTAACTTTTTTGGGATTTGTTGACGCCATGAAATTTGGAAAAAACAGATTTTTCCCTTAAAATGAAACATTCTCTCAGTTTAAACTTTTGATCTGTGATTTGTGTTCTATTCTGAATAAAACATTAGATGTTGGCACCTCCACATCATTGCATTCAGTTTTTATTCACAATTTGTTTAGTGTCCCAACTTTTTTGGAATCCGGTTTGTAGATAGAGTGTTAGCAAAATTAACACAGAAACTCCTGTCACTCAGGTATGAATGGAACCATTCTAACGGTGCACAGTAATCCCCACCCTGTGTTCTAGCCGGGATAAAAGGATACTGTGGTCCACAGTATCAAATGCAGTGGTAAGGTCAAAAAGTACCAGGACTACAGACTGACCAGAGTCATTTGCTAGAAGAATGTCGTTGCAGACCCTAACTAAGGCTGTTTCGGTGCTGTGTAGTTTCTTAGAGCCAGACTGAAAGATCTCAAGAATAGAATTTCCACTCAAGAACTTGTTTGAGTGAAAACTATTTTCTCCAGGATCTTAGAAAGAAAGGGAAGTTTGGAGATGGGTCTGAAGTTTGAGCAGGTTGAAGGGTCAAGTCCGTTTTTTTTATTAAAGGAGTTACCACTGCATGTTTAAAAGCATCATGAACTACACCTGTAGCCATACTGCTGTTTATAATGTCAACCTTTTGCCACATTTCAGGCTTCAAACATAAAGATGGAAAATTTTAATTTTTTTGTGAAGAATCAAAGAGTGGGACACAACCATGAAGTCGAATGAAATTTATTGGATGTGTGAAACTTTTTTAACAAATAAAAAACTGAAAAGTGGGGCGTGCGATATTATTCGACCTCATTACTTTCAGTGCAGCAAACTCACTCCAGAAGTTCAGTGAGGATCTATGAATGATCCAATGTTGTCCCAAATGACTGATGATGATAAATAGAATCCACCTGAGTGTAATCAAGTCTCTGTATAAATGCACCTGTTCTGTGATAGTCTCAGGGTTCTGTTCAAAGCGCAAAGAGCATCATGAAGACCAAGGAACACACCAGGCAGGTCCGAGATACTGTTGTGGAGAAGTTTAAAGCCGGATTTGAATACAAAAAGATTTCCCAAGCTTTAAACATCCCAAGGAGCACTGTGTAAGCAATCATATTGAAATGGAAGGAGTACCAGACCACTGCAAATCTACCAAGACCTGGCCGTCCCTCTAAACTTTCATCTGGAACAAGGAGAAGACTGATCAGAGATGCAGCCAAGAGGCCCATGATCATTCTGGATGAACTGCAGCGATATACAGCTGAGGTGGGAGAGTCTGTCCATAGGACAACAATCAGTCGTACACTGCACAAATCTGGTCTTTATGGAAGAGTGGCAAGAAGAAAGCCATTTCTCAAAGATATCCATAAAAAGTGTCATTTAAAGTTTGCCACAAGCACCTGGGAGACACCAAACATGTGGAAGAAGGTGCTCTGGTCAGATGAAACCAAAATCCAACTGTTTGGCCACAATGCAAAATGACATGTTTGGTGTAAAAGCAACGCAGCTCATCGCCCTGAACACACCATCCCCACTGTCAAACATGGTGGTGGCAGCATCATGGTTTGGGCCTGCTTTTCGTCAGCAGGGACAGGGAAGATGGTCAGAATTGATGGGAAGATGGATGGAGCCAAATACAGGACCATTCTGGAAAAAAACCTGTTTGAGTCTGCAAGAGACCAGAGACTGGGACGGAGATTTATCTTCCAACAAGACAATGATCCAAAACATAAAGACACATCTACAATAGAATGGTTCACAAATAAACGTATCCAGGTGTTGGAATGGCCAAGTCAAAGTCCAGTCCTGAATCCAATCGAGAATCTGTGGAAAGAGCTGAAGACTGCTGTTCACAAACGCTCTCCATCCAACCTCACTGAGCTCGAGCTGTTTTGCAAAGAAGAATGGGCAGAACTTCAGTGTCTCCATGTTCAAACCTGACAGAGACAAACCCCAAGAGACTTGCAGCTGGAACTGCAGCAAAAGGCAGTGCTACAAAGTATTAACGCAAGGGGGCCCAATAATATTGCACACCCCACTTTTCAGTTTTTTATTTGTTAAAAAAGTTTGACACATCCAATAAATTTCATTCCACTTCACGACTGTGTCCCACTTGTTGTTGATTCTTCACAAAAAATTAAAATTTTATATCTTTATGTTTGAAGCTTGAAATGTGGCAAAAGTTTGAAAAGTTCAAGGGGGTCGAATACTTTTGCAAGGCACTGTACTTGGGCGTGCACCTGAATGACAACCTCAGCTGGAGCAACAACACTTCCAACCTGATCAAGAAAACTAATCAGAGACTATCCAACAATACCTGGATTATTGAGCATGGACTTTTTTGGTCATCAGAGAGTACTTCCTCAGGTGGCTGAGACGAGCTGGTCTGGGAAGCTCAGTCCTCACCTCCTTCTACAGGTGTGCAGTGGAGAGCATCCTGTGCTCCAGCATCAATGTGTGGCATGGAGGCTGCACAGCTGCAGAAAGAAAAGCCTTGCAGAGAGTGGTGAAGGCTGCACAGAAACTTTTGGAGTCAGTCTCTCCACCATCACAGACATCTACACCTCCAGATGCAGGAAGAGGGCCACCTGCATCATGATGGACTCCACTCACCCAGCACACACACTTTTTGCCCCGCTCCCCTCAGGCAGGAGGTTAAAGAGCATTAAGTGTAGAAGCACTAGACTGAGGAACAGCTTCTACCCTGAATAATAACTGTGAAAAATCACATCATGTTGCTGCTGATCTGTTTCAATGTTGCTGCTGATCTGTTTCAATGTTGCTGTGTTCATTCATACTCATCTGCTCACACAGACTCATGTTTGTGCTGCTGTTCAGCGTATTGTTTTGTACTATTAGTGCTTAGCATATTTTTAGTTAAACATTTTTTTTAGTTCATATCTTGGATCTTATTACTGTTTTTTTTTTTACATTTTATACCTTTGTTGGATGTAACTGGGATACTGTGTACACAATTTTGTTCCACCACATGTACCACATGTGGCGCATACGACAAAGAACCTCTGACTCAGAGTTTAGACTTGAATGATGTTATACCTCATGTCAATAAATGTATTTTCTAGGGTTTAGATTTTTTGTCAGGAAGTGGCAGATTGTTTTTATTTTTGTTTTTTAGACTCTTAATACACAAATTACTCTGCTGACTGTATAATATTAATAAAAATATGTATAACACAGACAAAAAACCTAAACAAACCAATTTACCGTTTATTTTTTCTAAGCAGAAGCTGAAACGGCAGCAAACGGTCAGACTCCTCTGATGTCGGTGTGTTTGGGGATTCTTTGTGTCCTTCTGCTGATAGCCGTCATCGTCCTGTCCGTCATCAGTGAGTTTCCTTTTCAACTTCCAGAACTTTATTTAGCCACTGCAGAGGATTATAATTTTAAAAATGTATTGCAAATGACAAGTACTTGAAAATCAGAATAAAATCATATGAAGTTTATGCTTTCTGAATAACTTGTGTCCTGTCTCCATTGGTCCTCAGTCTCCATGGTAAAGAAGGATCAGGAAGCAACCATCAGTGACCTCAAAGCTAAAAATGATCAGCTGAGTGTGGCGAATAGCAACCTAACAAATCAAACCAAACAACTAGTTGTGGAGAAAATAAACCTAATGAATCAGACCAAGCAGCTGATGGATGACAAACTAAAGCTGCAGAACAATAACACAGCTCTAAACTCAACTATTCTGACTTTAAATAATCAGATCTCTCAACTTCAGAACAACACGAGTGTCCTGAAGAACCAAACTGAGAAGCTGACAAAAGAAAGGAACAACCTCAACTGGACTCTGGGATTCATCCTGACCTTCGACACTTTCCCAGTTAAAGTCTTCTGTCCCAACAAAAGTAAGTTCTTCACTTTGGTGACCTGAAACTGTGAACTTCTGTCAGTTGCTGCCAAACATCTTCCACAGGAGCTGCAGGGTGATCAGTGCTGTAAAGTCATTCATGTCGGTCATCTGCAAACAAAGAAACCCACAACCTGAAAACAAGTTGCTTTGTTCGGGGCTTTTATCCTACAAGTGTTGCTTTAGTTTGGACACCTGAGTACTTTGAGTGCTCTTTTAGGAACTTTAAATTTTATTCATATTTAGTAAACTAGATCTGATGGTGTTAAACTGTTTCAATAAACTTCCTAAAATTATCAAGGCAGCTGCTTTAGTGGAATGATAAATTTTTAAACTTGTTTTCTTTATGTTTCGTTCAGTGGACTGCAAGATGGCGGCGCCAGTGTGTTCGGCTTGCCTCTCCCTGCATACTTTGATTGTTTTTGTGTTGTTTTTTGCTTTTATAACTACTGTCGACTCTCTGCTAGTGTATAATCGCCAAACGCTTTTTAATCTTCGACCCGATATTAACAACTTGGCTCCGTTTGTGAATGACAGCTAGAAAACTTTTTTCCCTCCATTTCTGTCGGACGTGCCGGCCTACCTGTGCCGCGCCCCAGCTCCACCAGCACGCAGAGCGCGCAGACGCCGCGGGAGACGCAGTGGCCAGCTGGTCAGACTGAAAGCTCAGCTGGCGTCCTCCCTATCCGCTCTCTCTGAGTTTGGAGCTGCATCTAATTGTTTTATCTCATGGCGCTCCCTGGATCTCATCAGCTCTTCTCTGGCTCCTGTTGTTGGCCTGGGTGAGGGACAACCTGCGCGATGCCTCCCCCCTCCCCCCCCCCTCGTCCGAGTGCGCGGAGTGAACCACCACAACCTGCTCGATCTGGCTCCTGCGTCGGATCACACCCCGGCTGCTGTTGGCCTGGGTGGGGGGCCGCTGCTGCGCGGCCTCTCCTTTCCTCTCCTCCGCGTCCGCGGAGTGAACCACCACAACCTGCGGCTGCTGGACAGAGCTCCTCGGATGGATGACGTCACCCTGGCTCCATCTCATGTTCACATGGCTCTGGTTAATGCTAGATCTTTAACAAACAAGACCTTTATTCTGAAGGACTTCTTCACCTCCCGTGGTCTGGATTTTTTATTCATTACTGAAACATGGATAACTGCCGGTGAGTCCAGTGCTTTTTGTGAACTCCTGCCACCAAACTGTGCATACTTCAGCTCTCCAAGGACGACGGGTCGTGGAGGAGGAATAGCGACTGTTTACAGGAAGAGCTATTTCTGTAAACAAATCACACCTTTAACATGTTATTCCAGCTTTGAGTTCAACTTGTTTGCGCTCGGATCTTCACAACCCGTACTGTGTGCTGTTTTATACAGACCTCCAAAATACAATAAGGACTTTCTGACAGACTTTGCAGATTTTTTGGCTGGAGTCTTGCCTAAATATGACAGGATCTTGATAGTCGGAGATTTCAACATAGCCGTGTGCTGTGCTGATAAACCGTTGGTCAAAGAGTTTTTACAGCTGATAGACTCTTTTAATTTGCTTCAGTTTGTGTCTGATCCAACACAAGAATGTGGCCACACCTTAGACCTTGTGTTAGCTCACGGTTTTAATGTTTCTAATGTGGAAGTTTGTGATGCTGCCTTTTCAGACCACATGCCTGTTGTGTTTGACATGCCACTCGTCTGTCGCTCAGTCAAACCTCGCGCTCCTGCACAGCCCCGTCGGGTCATTAACTCCTCCACTGCTTCTCAGTTCTCTGCAGCTTTTAGTTCTGCCATCAGCCCCACAGACCCTGTGGGTCTTCATTCAGATATCGATGCTCTCTCATCTAATTTTAACTCAGCCTGTCAAAACGTTTTAGATGCTGTGGCTCCATTAAAAACGAGAGCTTCCAGACCAAAGCCTGACCCCTGGGCTGATGAGGTCACACGATCTGCCAGACGCCAGTGCAGGAGAGCAGAGCGGAAGTGGAAGAAGGACAAACTACAGGTGTCTTTCCAAGCTCTGAGGGACAGCTGGCGCTTCTATCAGTCCACTGTTAGAGCTGCAAAAAACAAATATTTCTCTGACATCATCTCCTCCAACTCCAGCAATCCACGTGTGCTTTTTAAAACAATCACCTCTGTTCTTAACGCCCCACAATCAGCCAGCCCAGAGAACTCCACTGAAATGTGTGACAACTTCCTGAGCTTTTTTATCAATAAGGTTTCAAGCATTAGAGCTCTCATAAGCCCTCCTTCTTACGACCCCTCCGTCTCCGTCACACGCTCTGCTGTCTTCAGTCAGTTTGAGCTCGTCACCCTGTCTTCCTTAACTGACATCACTGGTCGTATGAAACCTGCTGGATCCCCAAATGATCCCATCCCACCTCGTCTTTTTAAAGAGGTTTTTCACACCGTGGCTCCTCATGTGTCCCAAATTATAAATGACAGCTTGGCATGTGGACAGGTACCAGCGAGCTTTAAACATGCAGTTGTGACACCACTGATTAAAAAACCTAGCCTAGACCCCACAGTGATGTCCAACTTTAGACCCATCTCAAAACTGCCCTTCATGTCTAAGATCTTGGAGAAAATTGTTTACAATCAGTTAACATCATACTTAAACGACCACAACCTTCTTGAACAGTTTCAATCTGGCTTTAAAACTCACCACAGCACTGAGTCTGCGCTGCTGAAAGTCTTCAACAACATTCTTTTAGCCGCAGACTCTGGTGACTGTGTAGTTTTAATGTTGTTGGACTTGACTGCTGCCTTCGACACAGTAGACCATCACATCCTCCTGTCTCGTCTGGAGAACTGGGTGGGCATTCAGGGTCCTGCTCTACAGTGGTTCAGATCCTATCTGACAGAAAGAAACTTCTGCATGCGCATTGGTGCTGTGGAGTCCTCTGTAGCCCCTCTCACTTGTGGAGTACCTCAGGGTTCTATACTTGGCCCTCTTCTGTTTTCCCTGTATCTACTCCCTCTGGGACATCTTCTCCGGAAACATGGCATTTCTTTTCATTTTTATGCTGATGACAGCCAAATCTATGTTCCGTTAAAACAGGGCAAACACCATTCCTTGAAACAACTCCTGGGGTGTATGGCAGAAGTCAGAGCATGGATGTCACTAAACTTTTTACATTTTAATGACAAAAAGACAGAGGTCTTGTTGTTTAAGCCTAGTGAAGGCTCCAATATCCATGCTGATCTGGGTCCTTTAACAGAACATCTGACTGAGACAGCAACTAACCTGGGCGTGAGGCTGGACAGTGACTTCAAACTTGACACGCAGATTAAATCAGTGATCAAGTCCAGCTTCTTTCATTTGAGACAACTGGCCAAGGTCAAACCATTTCTGTCACAACATCATTTTCAGATCTTAATCCATGCTTTCATCACAACTCGCCTGGATTACTGTAATTCTCTTTATGTCGGTCTGAGCCAGTCATTACTGACTCGACTTCAGCTGGTTCAGAACGCAGCTGCCCGCCTTTTAACTGGTACCAAAAAACGAGAACACATCACCCCTGTTTTAGAATCACTACATTGGCTCCCGGTTCGCTTCAGGATTAATTTTAAGGTTCTTTTATTTGTTTTCAAATGTCTTCATGGTCTCGCCCCACAGTATCTGTCCGACCTGCTCCAGCTGTACACTCCTTCTCGCTCTCTCAGGTCAGCAGATCAGCTGCTGCTGGTCGTCCCAAGGTCCAACAGGAGACTGAGAGGTGACCGAGCGTTCTCAGTCGCTGCCCCTAAACTGTGGAACGAGCTGCCTCTGCATGTCAGACAAGCTGGCTCACTTCCTGTTTTTAAGTCTTCTCTGAAGACACATCTTTTCTCTTTGGCTTTTACTTCAGTTTGAAATGTTGGTTTTAATGACTCTAAGTTATTTGTTTTATTTTATTTGTTATCTTTATTTTATTTCACATTTTTAACGTGTGGGGTTTTTATGTTTTTGTATGTCCTAGTGTACAGCACTTTGGCCAACAGTGTTGTTTTAAAGTGCTCTATAAATAAAGTTGTACTGTACTGTACTGTACTTTGTTCAAGTACAGGTGATCAAATATTTATTCAAAATTTCAAAGTCGAACTGATAATAACTGATGTTTCCTTGTGGAAGAAAACTTTTCATGATTATCTTAAATATTTTAAATATTCTCTTTTTGTGTTTCTCTTTTTATAAATTGTTTTAAAATATTTTACAGTTTGATTTGACGTGTAATCTTTATATTTTATTTATAATATTTGTAACATTTTTTTTAAATGAAAACAGCATGTCAGCCGTGTCTGGTGGGATGGATTCAGTTCCAGGACAAGTGCTACTTGTTTTATAATGAAAACTCAGCGTCGGCCTGGAAGACCTGGGACCAAAGTCGACAGTTCTGTCAGAATAATTTTTCAGATCTGGTTGTTATTAATAATCTGCAGGAACAGGTGAGCTCTGAGACAAACATCACAACTTGAACTTTCTGAATTGAACCGGTTTCAAATATTGACTCAGATTTTAGTAACTTACAGAAAGTCTAAAAATGTTTCTGATGTTTTATTTACAGCAGTTTGTTGGTAATCTCACCAAGTTCTACTTGGATGAATGGCATGGATTCTGGTTAGGATTACGTAATGTTAACAACAACTGGGTCTGGGTTGATGGACGTACTGACACTCTGGGGTAAGAACATTTCTGTTTAACAACAGAATCATTTATTCTCCTGTGTTGTCTTGTTTTGTAAATACCATCAGACTGCACATTAATGAACAACTTGTTTTATGTGAAAACTGTGTTTTATGCAGCTTCTTTTTCCTGTGAGTTTTAAACTCATGTTTTGTTTATAAAATTTGAATAAAATCTTTGTTGCTCTAACATCAGCTCATAACACAGGAAACTTGCACTTCTTGAAATTTAAAACAGGTGAATCCTATTATTGAAACTTACAACCAGCTGTTCTATGAACTTACAACTTTTCAACAGTTTGTCAAGTTTTTAAATTATATTTGAATTCTCTCTGACTGTCTTAAATGGAGATTAAAAAAACTTAAATTTGGTTCAAATGGATCACATGAGTTCACGTCTTTCAGTTTAATATAGTTCAACAAAGACGAAGCTGAAATCAGAGTCGGTCCGTTCAGTCAGGAAACGGTTCCTTTGGTTTTTAAAGCAACATCAGAACATTTTCACTTTCAGAATAGAAATTTAAAACTACAATCCTACAGTTCTTAAAACATTGAACCATGTGCTCCACAATATTAATGACAACATAAATGTCAATAAATATCACTGCCCTTCTACACGTTAAATACAGCCAAACCACAGAAGACGTTAATTAGACAAATACAATCAGGACCTTTCAGCCAAACTTTCTTTTTCTCTGCTAAACTGCTAAAGTCATTAAAAAAAATCTTCTCCTGTGATTTCAGGATTTTTATTGTTTGCTGCACAGAATTATTTCACTAAAATCTATAAACAAAATTTAAATGGAAAATGTATTTTCAAAATCATTTCAGGTTTTAACTGTTGTTCTTCAATTTACAAACTACTTTTGAAACTGTATTTGGTTCTATTCTTTTTAATTTGCAGCTGTTGGTTCTTTTGTTCACGCTCTGATGTTCATGTTTCTCATTTGAAGGTTCTGGGGGAGTACGAACATTGCCAATGAGTCTGTTCTGCTGGTTCCTGGGACACCCCCCACACAGAGCTGGAGGCGTTTAACGTCATCAAGTGCTGATAAGTTCATCTGTGAGCGTGACGCTCTGGTGTGGTCCATTTAGTTTTAACAGTTTTCGTCTTTTTCTTTGTTTCCAGAACTTCTGTTTGTTTCTGTGTGATCAGATTTGATGTTAAAACAGAGATTTGGTCTCATCTGATGAAAACAGCTGAGACACAGATTGTTCAGCTTACTTCCTGTTTCTGCAGCGACTCATAAACAACAAATATAATGATTATAAATCAATAAAATGTGATGAAATATAGGATAACAACCTTTTGAAAGTGTCAGTGAAGTAGCATTCACTGATTAGGGAGACACTTTATATTTTTATTTTGTAAATATTCATCTAAAATATTAATGTAATTTGGTTTGCATATACCTGTATGTGACACTATTTTTAAAAATCATATTTAAAGTTTTCTTGCATTTTCTTTTCAATAATTAAGTTTTCTATCCAATCACTGTATTTGTAACATGATTATTTTGTAATATTCATTATTTTGTATTATTCATAATATACTTATTTTATTTCCTCTCACCTTTTGGAGTTTGATGCTGATTTTTCAGATTGTCCCTAAACGTCTCGTGTGCTCAGCAGGTAACTTCTGCTTCCTCAGTGATCTGATTGGCTGAATCCTCTGTCACTCACCTCTTCATCTGCAGAGTCACTGAATCATTTCAACACTTTCTTCTGCTTCCTCTTCACTTCACACTCACAGTTTTAGACTTTTAAACTCTGCAGCAGCTGAACTCGACTGACAGGTTGGAGGTTTTGGTGTTACACAAACTGCCGAAGAGCTCGTTGAAAAACTGTAAAAAAAATAAAATAAATGTTTAGAGGAAAGATAATCAACTCGGAAAATATTTCTAATGAAATCTACTGATTCTTGTGAAACAATAAAAATCAATAAATCAATCTGAGAAAAGAATGTTAACGTCTGTGTAAACCTGGGGTTCTTCTTATTCTCCAATATTAACTTGGAGTCATAATTTTATTTAACTGAGTTTTTAAAAACTAAAGCAATTTGTTAAACAGTTTTTTTTTTTATAATTCAGCAAAATACTCTTCCTTACTGAACCACGTTATTCGTCCTGCATCGCGACGTGAAGAGGGAAATTAGAAATATCCTCCATCCATCTGGTTCAAGGTCAAGGTTCTTTGTCAGTTGCATCACATGTGGTACATGTGGTGGAATGAAATTGTGTACACAGGGTCCCAGTTACATCCAACAAAAGTATAAATTGTAAAAGAAAAACAGTAGTAAGATCTAAGATATGAACCAAGAAATACACTAAACTAAGAATACACTAATAGTACAAAAACAATATCCTAAACAACAGCAGCACGAACATGAGTCTGTGTGAGCAGATGAGTACGAATAAACACAGCAACATGAAATAAATCAGCAGCGTGAGATCAGCAACACGGATAATCAGCAGCCCATATCAGTAATCAAATGGCATCACAGTGATTATTTTTCACAGTGATGATCCTGATCAGAGTTGGTGTCTGTCCATCCTTCTTGTGAGTGTTTAACTGCATCTTTGCATAAGAAAAGTTCCTGTTGAAAATAGGGTTGCCAAGTGAAAACCCAAGATATCCTCCACCAGACACACACACAGTCAGTCTTTCTGTCTTTACAGGGACTTTGCATTGACTTCCATTCATTTTTCATTCATTTCTATAGCCTAATCCTGACCCTTACCCTAAACCTAACCTCTGCACCACCCCTTCCCATCCCCATGATCAGTGTGGCTGGTTTCTGTACTTTATATGTTCTGTCTAAAAAAGGTCTCTCTTGTAAATGAGTCCTCGTGGCTCAGTGAGATTAGCCTGCATAAATAAAGGTTAATTGAATGAATGAATATATATATTAGCCACCCTGATCACTGTTGTTTAGTTTCTAAATTGCTTATAGTTTCCTCAAAGAAATGGGGTGGCCAAAGATTAATTTTTGGAGTCCAAGGCCACCATTGGCCACACTCTGGCTCCTTTTTTTATGATAAGCAAATGTTAGTTTTTAAGTTTAGATAAAACTACTCCATTCATTTCTTCTTCCTCTGAATTAGGCAGAAGTTATTTTCAATCTATGTAAAACAAACCACAGAGTTTTTATTATGGGGATTAGATTTTGTTTTGTTTTGATGAAATGTAAAAACTTAAGCCTTAATACAATTTCAAGTCAGCATTTTTTTTAAAGGCATTAAACTTGAACATTTCTCAGTCAGTGAAATTTTATTGTGTTCAAAATCTGAAATAGATAATTGGATTTTGTTTTTCCATCTCTTAGGAGAACACACCTTGTTTACAGTTTTATATAATTTTTGTCTTTTGTTCCAGACTTCTCGAATATTGCGTCACGAGACTTCAGTTCAGTTTATTTATAATGTATAGCGCCAAGTCCCAACAGAAGTCATCTCAGGGCACTGAACAGAAACATTCATATATAAAAGTTATAATTTAACAATATTTATCTGGGGAGCAAACTGCTTTGAGTTTAACTCCATCACAACCATTATATGTGAAGGGACCCCCCCCCCCCCCCACACACACACACACACACACACACACACACTTTTACTATGAAACACAGTTCAGGCGGCGCAGTTTCTCTTTCTTCGTGAATTAATCCATTCCACTTGATTAATTGGAGAATACTCCAGCCACTAAAACTCCACTCCAGGTTTTCCTGGTTACCTCCACCTCTACACACAGAGCAGGAACTGTTCATGCAGCAGGTGCTGAGTCTCCTGCCTCGGCAGAAAACGCGCACATGTGGAGGAGGTGCAGGTACCTCTGTGTTGCTCGCTCGCCAGTTTATAATAATAATAATCATTTTATTTAAAAATCACCTTTCAGGACACTCAATGACACTTTACAGTAAGAACTATATCAGAAAGATTGTGTAAAAACAAACAACAAACACAGTGCAAAGATCAACAGGAATAAATTGAAATATAAAATACATAAAGAATATAAAATACATACAGCAAAGTTAAGGATAAGCGAGTCTAAAGAGATGTGTTTTCAGAGCAGTCTTGAATAGAGAAAGAGAGGTGGTGTTTTGTAAGTCAGGGGGTAGAGAGTTCCAGAGATGAGGGGCAGAGCAGGTGAAGGCCCTGCTCCCCATGGTGGAGAGGTGGGCAGAGGGTACATGGAGGTGTAATGAAGAGGAGGATCTGAGAGAGTGAGAGGGGATGGAGATGTGTAGGAGGTCAGATAAGTACGGAGGGGCAAGTTTGTGGATAGCTTTGAAAGTGAGAAGAAGAATTTTGAAGATGATGCGTGATTTAACCGGGAGCCAGTGGAGCTGCTGCAGGACTGGAGAGATGTGGTTATAGGAGGAGGTTTGAGTTATGACACGGGCAGCTGAGTTCTGGACCAATTGCAGCTTCTGGAGAGATTTGTTGGGGAGGCCATGAAGAAGGGAGTTGCAGTAGTCAATCCAAGAAGTCACAAGACTGTGCACAAGGATGGCTGTGGAGCGGGGTGTGAGAGAAGGGCGGAGACGGTTAATATTTCTGAGATGGAAATAGGCAGACCGAGTGACGTTGTTGATGTGTGAAGTGAAGGAGAGAGTGGTGTCGAGGATGACACCAAGACTCTTGACCTGAGGCGAGGGGGATAGCAGAGAGTTGTTAAGGGGGATGAGAAGATGTTCTGATTTTGAAATAGAGTTTTTGGTACCGCCAAGAATTATTTCTGTTTTGTCACTGTTTGGTTGTAGGAAATGGTTAGAAAACTAATGATTTAGCTCATTGAGACAGTCGGTGAGGATGGAGGGTGGGTGGGTGGAGTTTGGATTTGTTGACAAGTAGAGCTGTGTGTCATCAGCATAACAGTGAAAAAGGACACCAAATTTACGGAAGATGTGACCTAGAGGAAGGAGGTAAATGATGAAGAGGAGGGGTCCGAGGACAGAGCCTTGGGGGACACCCGTGGAGACGGGGGAAGACTGGGAATGAAAGGATTTGAGCTGAATGAA